ATCTTGGATAGATTATTCAGCATCCTTTTTTCTGCATCACTTCATAACTACAAATTTAATCTAAAACCTTCAGAAAACTTTTTTCACTTTCTTAATACCAAGGCAATACATTTCATTTCTTCTGGCCCACTTTCCCAAATGCATTACAAGCAGGTGGGAGGAAGGGATCCCCTGAGGAATTTGTCCATGGCATCTAGCAGGAAAACTTCCACTTGGGTATTGCTGTATGGTTAAACCTGGAGACAAGATCTTGGGCTATGATTTCTTCTTAAGCCTCAGGACAGAATGAACTGCCCTAAGATAGAATCATAGAATCGCTAAGGTTGGAAGGGACCTTTAAGATCAAGTCCAACCATCAACCTACCCTGACAAAACCACCTCTAAACCATGTCCCTCCATTGAATACACAGCACTCAAATAATTAGCAGAAATTACTTAATTTTTCTGTCGTCAAGTTTTTCAGTTTAAGAATGTCAGAATATGTCTGAAAATATTCAGAACAACCCAGTGTTAATAGCCAGGGCTAGGGAGAGATAAAAATGTATGTTCATAGCAAAAGTTGTTTGCTCATTGATAACAGAGCCTCCCATCTCTGTGATACAAGAACAAACCCTGTAGCCCAGGTACAATGGCTAACTTCTTCTGGGAACTGAAAGTAAAATTCAACAGTGAATTTTTAAAATTCCTAGATCTTCTTGCCTGCAGGGAAAAAAAAACCCCAAAACATTTTGTTCTTTGTACTTTTTGTTTTCCTTTTCCTTCACAGAAAAGGACACTATGGATGTGTGGTGCAACGGTCAAAAAATGGAAACAGCGGTATGTGATCATTTCCAAAAGCTTTTCACAGGCTGTGGTTAGAGAACCAAAGCTTAGCAAAATAAGCCACAGAGGGGCACGTTACCTCACTTTACCCCAGACAGTAGTACGCTATTAGTCTGTTCTGAATGTCCTTCACTGTATTTTATAACTGACTGTTTCAGTTAGGATGCCAAACATCTGTTTAAGGATAAACAGTGCTTTTGTTTGCACTTTTTAGACAAGCAAAATAAATCTTCTGTGTCTGTTGTCCAGGGTTTTTAAGGAGAAAACTTTCAGGGGAGTGGGAGGGACTTGAGTTTGATGCAGTGTAGAGCCACCTCATCCAAACCTGTTCATCTTAGTGGTGACTGAAAGCTGAACACGTGTAGTCTGCTATGGCTCGTGATTTTTTTTCCATCTAGAGATGGTCCCTAACACTTGGGGCTTAAGAGTCTTCTTGGAACGAATAAAATCTTTTGTCTTTCTGTCACATCTGCATTATCAGATAGAGCAGGTTGACAGCTGGAAGGCCTTATCTATTTGGTGTCATATTACGATGGCTTTGAATATGCATACTGTGTAGGCTTCCCCATCCTTGCAGGATGTGCTTTCTCAACAGAGAGCTGTCACTGTGATTACTACTGCCACAAGTGATCCCCTGGATGAGCACAAATTGCAAAATCAACAGTTTTGCTATACTTGAGAATAGGATGAAAAGATTCATCAAATGTTTCTTTGGTAATCAGTGGAAGAAACATCCTCTTTTGGGGTATCAAAACAACTGCTATTGACAGTTCTCAGCCTTTTCTATAATGTAACAAATGCACTAGGAGATATTCTTGCAAGCTACGAGTACAGGTTTAGTTGTCAAACTGTGCTCGCATTAGAGCGGCACACAGATTTTTCTACTTTTCCAAAGATTATGACAAAAATACAACCATACGTGGCAAAATTGTAACAGGAAATGATGTAACTGCAGCAGGAGCTGTATACCCAAAATACGCAACTGTTATACTTATTTCAGGGATCGCTTCATCCTGCTGTAGAAGGCATGACAATACTTCATGTTTTACTGCCACTTCAGCATAGATTTGTGTGGTACTTACTGGCTGTACTGCACAACTCAGAAGGAAAATGTCTTTCCTAGTTTTGTTTTACTGACGTGGTTCAATGATATTAATTCACAAACTCCATTTGTACCATTTCTGATTATGTGAAATTTTGATTGTCATCTAATACCCAAAAATCTTTAACTGGATGCTGTGACAAAGCCCTGTGTGAGATTCTGCAGCTTTGTTCAGCATTTGTGCTGTATTTGTCGCAGGTACCTACAGCTGCTCTAATTGTGGGAACTATAAATGATCTTGACCTTGGAAACCGTATTATTTTACTAAAGTAGCACATGTCTGTTTTTATTGTCTCCTTTCTCCCAGGGAGAATTTGTAGAAGATGGGACTGAAACTCACTTCAGTGTTGGTGATTACAGCTGTTGCATTAAGGCTGTCAGTAGTGGAAAACGAAAGGAAGGAATTATTCATACCCTTATTGTAGATGACAGAGAAATCCCGGAGGCTGTGGAGTAGCCTCTAGTTAACTGATTATTGTAGGGCTAAGATCAGGAATTTTCAATTACTGTGGTAATTATTTTAATATGTACTACTTGGTACATCTGGTTTGTGCTGGGTTTATTTTCTAGTTTCTGTATATGAAATTATTCTTTTTGAGGACCAGATAAAAGTAATTATATATGACCTCTTACATTACCAGTTTTTAAAAAACTATATATATAGAATATATATTATATCACTATATACAGAGAACACTGGTGAATTTAAGTAGAAATTATATACTAGAAAAAGATCTCGCTATACTAAAATGGAAGATAAATGTTCAGTAGGACTGAATCCTTATAAACTGCAGGTGTATGTGGAGGGAGGAGGAAGCATGTGCTGGGCATTCAAGTAAGCTGTTAAAACTCTCTCAGTAATTATTTTTTCTATTAAACTGACTACCAATGTTTTTTCAGATGCAGTTAAGAATGTTACAAAGTTAATAAAAAGGTTAATAATGAAATACATTGTTACCAGTACTTGTGTAATAGTATTAAAATAATATTGTGCTATGAAACCTGTTCTTTATTCCACATAGAAGAAAAGATGTTACATTGTGCCAAAAAAATTCCTTAAGGTTTTCTGAAAACTAATGCTTGTTAGAAATTGTTGCAGTAGTTCAGAAACTGTACTGAGTTTTTTCAAAAAAGAAAACAGAAAAAAAGCATTCTTGCCATGAAACTCCTTTAAAAAATGAAAGCTTTTGAAGCAAGCTGATACAAGAGTTTATTCTTGTTCAATGCTGTCTAACAAACCTTAAATCTACAGCCATGTGTTTTCCTGGAAGTACTGTGTGAATCAAGAAACATGAGGGAAAATGGGACAGAAACAGAGGAGAATTGGTTGCTTAAATGGAAGAGTTCAAATATGAATAGACTAATTCTGTTTTCAAACTTCCAGCATACTCTCTAAAAGCAACCTTGGGATTTCTGTGAGAACAAGACTCATGGTTAGATGGTTCTTACAAGTTCATGAGGGGTTTTCCCTATTTACCATTACACTAGAACATACCCGGCTCACATGCTACAAAAGCTACCCTTTTTCAACAATGTAGATATAGCTAATTTTTAAAAATACAAACAAAATATGAATATATTCATTCAAATATTTGTTTTGCAATGGTTAAAAAAAAAATTTCCACTTGCAACCTCACTTAAAGTTCAGAATTAGACTTTTATAACTTAATTTCTTTGGACTTGTGACTGGTTCCTAGCACTATGACTACTGTCTTGGGAGTTGCAGGTACAGTACAAATGTGCTGGGAATTCATTAACAAATTATTTTGAAAAGTTTTATTAAATGCCAATTTAATCTATGTTTTGGGGTTCGGGCTGCTCTCCATTAGCACAATGCTTTACATGTGGATGAAATGCTTTTCATATGATAATGTCATTGGTTTTTAATAGTTTTATGCAAGCCCTTCTTCTCCCCAGCTAATTACAGTTTTAACCATAGGTGACTTTTCAGTTTAAAAGCAGACCTGATATTGACAGGTGAGCCTTCATTTCTGTATTACAGCACTGTTATAAGCCATTTAGGTGTTTAGTTAGGGTCATAACTGGTGCTTCAGATTGGACAAACCTGGTAGTAGCTTTAGTTCGGGGCAATAGATTTGTTTTAAACCCTGCTAAAATCAGACATAGTTTCAGGCTTTAGTACAGAAAGTTTCAACGTACCCGAGAGCTGGATGAATCCCTTTTTACATTGAAATGAGTAGAAGAGCTCGTCAGCTTTTCCATTTACTGCCTTCAGGTCACCACAGAAGCAGTGTGGGGGTACCTAGCTACAAGGTTGACCCTGTCATCTTTAAAAAATTTTGGTAAAGGCAGATTAATTGATGAGCAATTTAAAGGCATAGCTTCAATCAGTTCTCTACTATTTTGTAGCCTTTCAAAGAGATTGAACACCACTGATAAAAAGTGAAGCTCAAATACAGTCCAAGTCATGTGACTACATGGAAAAATAACAGGTTAGCTGACAGCATTGTTCATACTTTTTATTTTGAATACACATCTACAATGCATGGAATCTCATAACTGATAAAAACTGTAACAGCAGCTACTGTTAGAAATCATGAAGTATTGCCTCATATTTGTCATAACTATGTGTATTTAATAGCGTGTGCCTAAGTGGGAAACAGCTTTCACATGACAGATTCACCTGTTTAAGTCAAAAGCAAATTTAAGAATCAAAGGCACAACCAAGATTTCTTGGGTTTCACTAACATATACATCATCTCAGATTCAGAAAATATAACAAAGAATGACAGCCTACACAAACATCAAGTGCATAGCCACATGTGCAGAATGCTTTAAGGCATAAAGTAAATGACCGGGTAAATGTTAAACTGTATTTTGTGATGTGTTCACTTCTGTTTCCATTCACAGATACTTTTGTTCTAACCTCCTTAAGGTACTGACTGACGGTTTTTGTTCACAGATATTGCAGAGCACTTTACATGAGGCACTTAGATCACAGCATGTTACTAGGTAGAGCATCCTCTTAAAATCTAAGTACTAGACTTTGTTCTGAGGGGGTCTTCACAATAGCTACAGTTCTGATTAATTCTTACTCTGGATGCTGCTCGTTTCCTCAGGGGCCATCTACCTCTTGGGAACAAGTCAACAAATATTGTGGAAGGGCCCCAACGCTGTTGCAAATGACAAAGGTGTCGGGATTGTTTACATCATCTACTAAGCTGTCATATACCTTAGTGGCATCCCCCTCCACTGCTGGTGGTATAATATAAGTCGGCTTGCCTTTAGTGTATAAGCCTGTTAATACATCAGCCTCAAACACATACATTTTAGAGTCCATTTCCCACGTATCTTTACCCTCGATAAGGCTTTTCGGGTTCCTTTTAAAGTAGATGCCAGCTCCATATTTTTGTTCTGGAAAAAAAAGGAACATTTTCAGAAGAAAAAAGAAAACACAAATGGTTCTTTTGGGGTGGAAGTACGAAGAGGCTGCTTCTTGATTCAGTATGACGTTTTGTTACTGCTCAATGTGTGCCATCCTTGTGCAAGTAAATCTGCATTACGTGGATCTGATGCTAACACTGACTTCCCTTTGAAATGGACAGCTGATGACCATTCCAATTTAACTGCTACTACAGTGGTGACAATTTAGATTTAACTGTCAATCTAGTGATAGAAACATCAAGGTATAACATATTTATATAAACAGTTCTGTCATCATGTCCTAGGAACTCTGATAAGCACCAGAGAAGGTGAGATTTTAATAATGCAAACTACAAAAAAGCACTTTGGGATTTGTAAGGAGAATGCTGCATAAAAATGCTATTACAGTACCACATGGAAAAGTACAAAGAAATGAAATTAAACCATCATCCTATTTATTACTTTGAAAGTATGAAAGTGTGCCACATACATTGCATAGACAAGGAAAGGCAAATCTCCACTTTTTGAACAGTTTATTGCCTGAAATCCCAATTCTGCATTTGACAAGCAAAATATCACACCTTTCACGTATTGCAGAATGAAGTGCTAAATGCTTGTTCTTTCAATTTCTGAAAACATCTGTCTGCTACACTATTTCATAGACACCACGACTTTCTTCCAGACTGTACTCTTGTTTGAATGGCAGTCTGCTCAATCAGATGACCCACTGTCTCTGATTTCAGCTGAGATTAGGCTAGATGACCTTCAGAAGTACCTTCCAGCTTCAAATTCTTCTGCGATTCCTTGGAACGTGTTTTAAAGCATCACGCTGCTAAATGCGTGTTTGCAGCAGGTAAATAAGGACACTGACTTTCTTTTAAGAGTGATGCAACAAAATAAAACACGGATGTGGCATTCTGTGTATATTAAGAATTCTATCATTGTCTGGGCTCGGCTGGAATCCAGGCTCATCCTCCCAGAGCCTTCAGGAAAATCTTACTGTAGATAAAAAAGCTCGTATGACTCTAAATGTGGGTAAGAAACAGTTCTTGTTTAGAAATGCCATTTTTCCCTGATTTTAATCCAACTCTAGTAGTCAGTCACTGTTCATTCTGATTAAAGATGCCAAAGCAAGTTATTACCTGTTGGTGGAGAATACATCCTGTGAAATCCAGTCTGGCACACCGAGCTACAGAACTGAGCAGGAACATGCTGGTACAACTTGTGTGTTATTTTGGAGGTACCACCTTGTTTTTGTTCTATTTCTTTTTTCATTTGTTGGAATGCAGCAGATAAAAGAGGATTATGTATCTTTTCAATCTGTAACATAAATAATAGCATAGTATAAGCAAACGGAGACCAACATCCATGAAATGCATCTGTGCTCTTGTTCAGACTATGTTCTTCAATATGAGAACCTTTGATTTAGCTTATATGCATTGACTGCGTAGCGGATAAGGTCTGTGAAGTGTGCAACTGATGCACAGAAAAAGAACCATGCCACTGTCCCATGCCTCTTGTTGCAATCAGTGGGAATATATCCTAGTGTACTGATATCCAGTACTTGAGTTGTGCTGAACAGATTGAGCATCAACCCTACGTGAGAATAAGCTGTGCTGGTGCTTACCAGCTAATCTTGGAAAGAACTGCAAGTGTCCTTGTAAGGTGTGGAGAACCTCAGCTCTCATTGATCGAAACTTTACAGCTCTTGGGGGAAAAGAGGTCCACAGATAAAGAGGGCCTTTGTGTTAGCTTGTGTCTTGGAAGCATGGCTGCAGGCAGTGTTACACAACACAACTTCAGGTGAGCTGGTGATGCTGCAGCTCTTGCTGCCACACCTGACTCCACCAGTGGTACAGTCACAGTCCTATGGCAAAAATCAGTACCAGAGGCCTGGAAGGCCTCTTCTCCAGCAATCCGGTCATGCCAGACTTCTGATGGCTCAGCTAAAAACAAGCAAGAGCTGAAGCACAGTCAAGCTTCTGCTCTCTTAAAAAACATTTAACTGAGCTGCGACCAATCCTCAGTGGAGCACTGTTTAAAATTCTGATGTAGCTTTTGCGTTGAGACTCAACAAAGTCTTTAGTTCTGCAGATGAAGAAGCACCTGCTTTCATTGGGTTGGCATTTGCTATTATTTCAGTGTTAAATACCCTCCTCGTGTGAAAGGCAGTTTGGCACTTAGCAGTCTGGTTTCCAGTTACCCACTGTTACTACTATGCACCCAACCCCCTGTTTACAAACTTCCGTATTTCTGTGTGTTGCTCAGCCTCATCCTCCTCCCCTTCAGTAAAGCACTGTTTTCCAAGCAAGATCCCAGCTTCAACACATTCCTAATCAGACCATAACTCTGACAAATTCAATTGCTAATTTTTGGTGTCCAGCTCACAAGAAGAAAACGGAGACGCTGCATTAGTGGCCTGGCATATCGTACTCATTCTAACATACCAGTCTTGTATTTCTCTGGAGCCCTATAAAGGAACATTTGAAGCATGAAATAAGAGAATATACAGTACAATTAAAAGGACTTCTCAGAATTTAACCACACTTTTTGAGTGATTACTTGCATTATCTTTAAAATATTTTTTACTAGGAGTAATGACTACATCTCTTAAGGATTAAGCTGACTTGATCTTAATTTTTTAAAAGCAATATATTGGAATAGTTCATCTGAGTTTTTTAAGCACATATTAAACATGTTAGTTCAAATCTATCAGCTGAGATTTAGTTTTTCCGTGAATACCGTCTTTACCTTGAGAACACGAAGCCCAGCTTTTTCAAACTGTTTCTGTCTGTCTTTAAACTCCTGAAGGTGTGATTCCACCGGTGAAACGTGGACACATGTAGTAGTTTTTGTCTTGTGAAGGTGTCCTTCTGAAAGCTGACTTGATTCTGGTTGGCCTGGATACAAATAACGAGTACAGTTTTCATATAACAATGTCTGAAGCAAAGGCAAGGAGGAGGGATCCAATACTTTAGTTTGGTAGTTTAGTTAAGAACAAAGAATGTTAAATATTCTCTGAACTAATGCCAGAGGCTAATATTGAGAGGGACTGATGAATAAATGAATAGGTATATCTATTTTTTCTACATTTATTAAAGAAACCAGAGAGAGAGGGAACCAAAGAACAGCAATTTATCTTCTCTATTACATCTCTCCACAGCCCAACTTTCATATAACAGTATCTATACTGAATGACTATACAAACATGAGGAAAAATGGATCACGTGGGTTTTTGTAATGCCACTAGTTCTATCAACTGTTAATGAAAATCAAGGACTCTGCAGAACAAGTCCATTGGTGGGTCCTGCAACAGTGGTCCAGCTGTAGCTAGCAAAAGAGCTCAGCAAAGGTGTGTGTTAATTAAGTGCAAATTTTGTAAGTCTCCAGTGGCCAGGCTTTAAAGTGAAGCTGTCCTGGAGGAAGCCAGCATTACAGCTGGCTGTACAACGACGGCTGGCCCCAGCATAAACTGTGCACTACTGGGAATATTGCCAAGGGACTAACCAAAGCTAACAAATGGTCTTTCAAAGTCTTTCCTTATGTTTATCAATATGATAAAAGTACAGCAATATCGGTAATTAAAGCAATGCTCAGTATGTGTGTGAACTGACTGCACATCTGTCCACTCTCAGCAATGCACAGATACGTGTTGTTTCACACTTAATCCTATTTATGCACTTATTTACTTTACATACCCATTAAGTAAAGCAGTTTCTTTTGTTTGGCTGTAGTCTTCTCTTGCATACGAAGCAGTAATTTTTCAGTTGCGAGCACTGCATCAATCACAGCATCAGGGGGGCCCTGAAATTCCAGTCTTGCTTTTCCACCTAGCACTTCTTCTGATACACATACATTGGAATGCTGCTCTCGAGATAGTTCTGCAAACTCATTTTTACCGAGGCTAAAAATGTAGTTGTTTTTAATAACAGCACAGTGACTTTCCCGAATTTGTACCACACTTTGGATCCACGATTTTGCTGCTTCCAATGCTGTACGTGTGTTCCCTTTAAGTTCGACAGCTAGTTCGTTATTTGCAGTCTCTTTTACGCTTTGACTGCCTGACTCTGTACCTGGAAGAAAGATGTGGGTTTTTTCATACAAGTACATTGGAAGAGTGAAGAGCTTTCAAGGGCTGTCACAAATTCCTATATGTAATCCAAGATGTACAGTGCCAGAAACACACTAGTCTTCTGGTATGCTCAAAAAAAAAAGAGATTAGATACCAGGAGGTAAGGTTTCCAGGAAAAAAAAAAAAAAAACAAACACACATACATTGCAGAATTTATTTGCCTTCCACTAAATTACTTCCAACAAGTCAGGCACTGACGATGATTTTGATTGATGTTTGCAAATCTTAAAGGGAGTAGTGCCCCATTCCATTCCTATCAATGTAAAAATGCAAAGTGCTCACGTATTTTTTCCTCCCCCTTTCCCCAAGACACATATGCAAATACTAAGTTGTTTTTAAAGGAATGTGATTTCAGATTCTCAAATCTGGAGCGCTCATTTATTTGAAATGCCCCTTCTGTTATTTACTTACCCAAATGATCACTTCTGTTGTAATATTGCTTTTCTTCCAGTTTATGTGCTGCTGAATAAATTTTTCTCTGGAAAACCTTCAAAGAGAAAAGTTTAGGAGCAGTTTGTAATCTATCTCTGTTGTCAAATATGCAATTTGTCTCTTCAAAACTATTAGATAAGCAGTTTACAGCTGTACTTAACACCCTCCCCCAAAATTCTGAAATTGTTCACAGCTGGTATTTGTCAGCTTTTCCCAAAGTTTTATTCCTGACAATGTCAAATGCATTCCTGTTCTTCTACATCTCCTAAGGTAAGACACCTTACACACTGAATGCCACCTTTCCCAACTCCTTGTGGTTGTGGCATATCTAGAACTCAATGAACCACAGTCGATAAAGATGTTTATTACTTGCAGTGTACTGGTGAGGAACCTGAACATACGTAAGTCTACTGGACCTGTTGAGATGCATCCCAGAGTCCCGAGGGAATTGGCTGATGTAGTTGCCAAGCCACTATACATGATATTTGAAAAGTCATGGCAGTCAGGCGAGGTCCCCAGTGACTTGAAAAAGGGAAACATTGCAGCCATTTTTAAAAAGGGTAGAAAGCAAGACACTGGGAAGTACCGACCTGTCAGCCTCACCTCTGTGCCCCAGATGATCGTGGAAAAGATCCTCTTAGAAGCTACGCTAAGGCACATGGAGGACAAGGAGGTGATTTGAGACAGTCAGCATGGAGTCACCAAGGGCAAGTCCTGCTTCACCAACCTAGTGGCTTTCTACAATGGAGCGACTACATCAGCAGACAAGGGAAGAGCTATGGATGTCATCTATCTCAACTTACGTAAGGCCTTTCACACAGTTCCCCCCAACATCCTTCTCTCTAAATTGACAAGATATGGATAGACTGTTCAGTGGATGAGGAATTGGTTGGATGGTTGCATCCAGAGAGTAGCAGTCAACAGCTCAAAGTCCAGATGGAGATCAGTGACAAATGGTGTCCCTCAGGGATCTATAGTGGGACCAGTACTGTTCAATGTCTTCATCAATGATATAGACAGTGGGATTGAGCGTACCCTCAGCAAGTTTGTGGAGGACACCAAGCTGAGTGGTGCAGCTGACATGGCAGAGGGACGGGATGCCATCCAGAGGGACGTGGACAAGCTCAAGAAGTGGGCCCACGTGAACCTCATAAGGCTGAACAAGGTTAAGTGCAGGGTCTCACACCTGGGTCAAGGCAACCCTCAGTACCAATACAGGCTGGGGGATGAAGGGATTGAGAGCAGCCCTGCCAGGAAGCACTTGGGGGTAACGGTGGATGAAAAGCTGGACGTAAACTCACACACTCAGCCCAGAAGGCCAACCGTATCTTGGGCCGTATCAAAAGAACCATGGCCAGCAGGTCAAGGGAGGTGATTCTGCCCCTCTACTCTGCTCTGGCGAGATCCCACCTGAAGTACTACATCCAGCTCTGGAGCCCTCAGCACAGGAAAGACATGGACTTGTTGGAGGGGGTCCACAGGAGGGCCACAAAAATGTTCAGAGGGCTGGAGCACCTCTCCTATGAAGACAGGCTGAGAGAGTTGGAGTTATTCAGCCTGGGGAAGAGAAGTCTCCAGGGAGACCTTATAGCCCCTTCCAGTACTTAACGGGGGCCTACAGGAAAGATGGGGAGAGACATTTTAGCAGGGCCTGTTGTGATAGGGCAAGGGGAAATGGTTGTAAACTAAAAGAGGGTAGATTTAGACTAGATAGAAGGAAGAAATTTCTTACAATGAGGGTGGTGAAACACTGTCCCAGGTTGCCCAGAGAGGTGGTAGATGCCCCATCCCTGGAAACACTGAAGGTCAGGTTGGACGGGGCTTTGAGCAACCTGATCTAGTTGAAGATGTCCCTGCTCATTGCAGGGGGGTTGGACTAGATGGCCTTTTAAGATCCCTTCCAGCCCAAACTATGATTCTATGAATCATTACTGAGTTTTAAAACCCAGACATTTCCCCTGCCTTTATCCCAAAGGTACTCTTCATGATGACACATGGAAAGCACCTGAGAAGTGCTACACTGCCAGGCAGTGCATTTGGCACCTGGCAAATTGCCTTTCCTTCCTTTTCCAGCAAAAAGAGTTTCTGCTGTGCCCTGATTATCAAGGGATTAAGTGATGAGCACATAGGTGTCATACAGCTTCCTTTAGAGTTTATGGGACTCTTACAGAACGTGGATCTGATCTTACAATCATCGAATGGTTTGGGTTGGAAGGGACATTAAAGATCACCTAGTTCCAAGCCCCCTCCACCAAGAACCTCCAGGTTCTTCACCTGTTGGAAGAATGGATGGTTGAAGTTAAATGGGAACAAAAGCAAACGCTGTACTTTTATAATGGATGGCTATCTAAAATAGTTATGTATTAATCACATCAGCCAAATATTCAAAAGGTGGAAAATGACACACTGCAGTTGAAATTATCCACTGTTTGCAACCCTTCTATCATGTCAGGTCATACAATGTGTTGATAGTGTTTTGTCCTAGGAACTTCATACAAAAAAAAAAAAAAAAATCAGTTAAATTTCCTAAAGAGGAATAAGTTTATTCCCTAATGAGTTAAGAGTAGACTCTTTTCTTATAAAGTCGCTGACAGTCATGAGAACTTCAGAGCTCCCTCCCTTTGTTATCAGACCACAGGGTGAAGACTTCTGGTTCAGTGAGGAGAAAGTAAAGATTTGTAAAGATTAACAATACCTGTCAATGAGACAAATAGTTTCATAAAGGGACCTGCTGCTCACAAATGTTGTAAGTAGTACAGAATGCAGATTATCTTAATTTGTAGTCATCTATGGGGATATTTTTACAGTTTGGGGTTTTCCTTATTGGTAGCTAACAACAAATTTACCTGATAGGTATCGTAGTCATCCGGGCAAATGACAAACTGCACATCTATCTTCTTCTCAGGGTGTGCCCTGGCAAAATTTAAAACCTCTTCAATCATGATCTCTGCCACGATATCAACAGGCAGCATTAATGACCATATCCCATTTGGTGGAAAAGAAACTGAGGGAGATGGCAAGTCCCAAAAGTAACATAGGCATCTTATCACTGCAGCTTTTAATTCCTGCAAGAAAAACAAGCGTTTTAGTCTTCACATCATGCCATATGAAAATCAATTAAAATCCAATCCAACTGATCATTACCTCACACAGTAACACCCTGTGGCGGTATAGCGGCCATACAATGTGCAGCACAAACTCACAGGGCAGGTTATGCCCTTTTGTTACTATGAGTGGGTTATAAACCGAAGGATGTCTAAGATGAAACTTAAGCTCATCCTGAAGATCTGAACCCGCTTTTTGCCGCAGTACTCTTGAAACTGGAGAGTAAGGCTCACCATCCACAGACACAGAATTAACAATAGCTGTAGTCTGGAAGAAAAGCGTACAAAGTTTCAGTATACTTCAAGTTTACTATTTGCAAGCTTTGCCACTAAAGAGAACATTCTTTCTAGGGACAATTCTGAAGCAGATCAGCTGTTTGAAAGGTTCTCTTACTACTACTAAGGGCAGTGTGCACCTTCTAGTGGCAGTAGATGCATACACATTTTTCAGGAGCCAGCAGCATGCATAAGACCTGTTCAAGTCATCAGAGGGTATTCAACAGAACCATTAACACAGCTATAGAAGTGACCCATACGTCCCTCATCAAATGCAATTCTGCAGCCAACTGTCAATCAGCAGGAGAGACCTATGGCTCTGTGTGTTATCCCAGCCCACGCAGATGCTCCCGGTGTTAGGGTAGCAAGTGCTCATCACCAAACTAGCAGGGGTCAGGGCACACAGGGGAACTGCAAAGCTACGGTTGCTTCCAATTCCCAGTGAAAACAGCAGGTTCCCATAGTAGGTCTTCTGTATTTCAAATTAAATACACAAAATGCAAAACTTGTTTACAGAATGCTGACAACAGCAGTAATTGTTCTAACTTTCATTGTTGAAGATTATCTAAAGATAAAAGACTTCAGAGCGTATTTTCCTCAGTCTTGAAGGCATGTGGTATCCTCCAGTGCTGTAGAAATGGTTAGTAAAATTCTCCACAATGTCAACTTTGCCATCCTTTGCTCTCACCCCCAAAAAATGAATTTCCTATTCAATTAAGATACTCTTTTAAAATAAAAATTATTAATGTTTTTAAGACACAGTATTTGCTAAAAGCAAATGCCATTCCTGTGATGCAGCTTCCAGTCTAGGAGCTCTGTTGAACTACTGTGACTAAGCTCATATATTTTCTAGCTAAAAAGTTAAATGAATCAATTTAAATGATGTACTGTTTAAAGGTAAGGTGCACATCATCTGTATGCATTATTTTCAGCTGTTTCAGTGTTTGCTGAATAACTCCAGTAGTGACACCTATGAGAACATAAATTATAGGAAAAAAAGCAAGGGGAAAAAATAAGAGTAGATTTCCAGGGAATGTATGATAAAATGTGAACTCCCAGGATGTTATAATAAGATGATAAACATTAACATAGGGATATATTACTATCAACCATCCAATCTTTAGGAGCTTCCTATTATTCCATAACAACGTGTATATAAAAAAAAATAAAAACGTTCTAATGTTTCATACTTATTTAGGAAAAAAAAAAAACAACTCCTTGCCACTGTAGTTTATTTACCATTTGTAAAATCTCATCAGGATGAGAAGATAATTATTTAGTGGACCAATATAATATGTGTTCTGGACTCTTGGCCTCCAAATCCTGCAAAGACTTGGAAGCAACTCCATGCTCAACATATGACAGGACAGACTTACCTTCTGTTCTTCAAGGAATCCTCTTACGATGCGCAAGCAAATGCCTCCAAGTTTGATGAAACCTGAAGGCTGGCTTGGTGAAGCTGAAAGAGTTTCCTGAAGTGAACTGGTATCACCCAGAAACTTTTCACAGGCCTTCTTCATTTCTGCAACTGTAGCCTCACAAATGTTCACCAAGCGGATTTCCCTGAGACAGCTCGGTGGACTTGCTTCAACAAATTCCTTTATAGCCATTACAACCACTTGAGCACACAAATCAAGCGGGAAGCCATAAACACCTGAACTCACTGCTGGGATAGCCACAGACTCTATAGCATTTTCTGGAGCACTAACATACTTCAGAACATTCACAATAGCTTCCTGAAGCAGGTGACAACATCTTTCCTTTTCAACATTCGCCCATACTGGACCAACTGCATGAATAATTTTCTTACAAGGAAGCTTCCCTCCACCTGTCACTGCTATTTGGCCAGTTGCGAGTTTTCCATACCTTTGAATATAAAGATTGCATTGCTCTTGTATTTCTGGCCCTCCAGCATTCACAAGGGCTAAAGCAAGGCCTCCCCTATGATCTAGATACATATTGGCTGCGTTTACCAAAGCATCAGCCTTGTGTCTTGTGAGATCATCCTTACAAACACAAATGTCAATTCCTGGCTTTAGTTTTTTCCTGTATACTTCAACAGTGCATTTTGTACTTTTGAAAGTCAGTGTACAAGCAAACTTTTTGTAAATGAGATTACTTAGACAGTTCTCTCTTTTCTCAAGAACGTCATAGGCATCTTTAGTGATGGGGATCATCAAGCTGTCCTCATCCATTACCATGCTTGGTCCTAGGATACAGAATAATATAAAGTGAAATCCAAAACACTATTGTCAAAACATTGCTTTTTATATAGACATGTGGTTTATAGCTCTCAATTTTATCCTACTGTCGTTACTTACTGATATTTTTTTGCATAGTCTGATCTTCTCTCTCCCCTTTTCATAGGCTTAGAAAGTCTAACTAAGCAAAGAAATCAAGGCCTTAACTGTTGTTCGTTATTCTCTTCAAATTAACCTCCCCCTCTACTAGCTCCTTTCCCACCTTTCCTCAAGACCTTCTCCTCTTTTCTTCTGGTGCCTCATGAATCACAGCAGTGTGATTTTCAGGAAAGCAGAAAGTTCAGTTGCACTCTGTCAGGGTTAATGTATTTGGATTCTGAGCAACAGTCAGTATTATGCTGTCCACAGTTTCCTGTAAGCCTATGAATACTTTCACTTTTGTCTTTTCCATCAACAACCAGCTCCCTCCCTGTAACTGAACACAGGCAGACACGGCAGCAGCCAGCTGATCAGTGTCCTCAGAGAGACCACACACCCTCCCCTGAAGCAGTCTGTCTTCAGGATGATCTTCTGGTGGCCTGGCAGATGTCAGACACGGTAAAATATGCCCCGAGCCCCCAAACAGCCTGCTCAGAGTCCTCTCAGCAGAGGGATTACCAGCATATAGCCTGTAGATCCCTTGGGCAAATACCTTTTCCTTAGAAGTGGTTGACCTCTTCTCTTTCCCTATTCTTCCTCCAAAGGCACTAAAAGAGGACAACAACAGTATCACTGAGCCTGTAGTGACTTGAGGGTTTGGGTTTGGCCTTACTGTTTACTTGAGGAGGAAGCTCAGTTAAGATGTGTCTCCTCCTGTTACTCGTTCTCTCTTTCTTACTGTTTATTCTCCCCACCATTAGGTTGACACAACCATTGTCGGGGACATATTCTTAAATGAATCGGTGACGTAATCCAAATTAAAAAAAAAAACAAACAAAAACCATCACAAAAGTTAATTTGATTTAGAGCACCAACCTCAAAGACTGATGCAGCAGCACAATTGAATAGGCTGAGAATAAATGGTGAGAAGGAAGAAAAAGGAAGAGACAAGTGTGAGAGGAACGTCTTTGAAATGGATGCTGTTACAGGGCATCGTTAACTGGCTGCATTTGCCAATAAAACTCCAGCTGAGAAAGCAAACGTGAAAAGCCACGCCATAATCAGGGCTTCAAAATGCTTGTAAGAGTGGAAAACACCACTTTTACCCCTCTGCTGAGAGGGCTGAAGCCTGGCCCTGCCCTCTCCAGGGTGTTTTTAGCATTTTGTTACTGATTTCCAGCAAGGTCCAAGGGTGAGTACCCCAAGTCTTTGCAGCAGTGGCTGAGTCAGTGGCTCACAGCCGCACCAACATAAGAACACTTGCCGATACGTTCATTTAACTGTGCCACAGAGATCTTATGTTTCAGCTTTATCTTTACTCCTGTGGCCTGCACTTAAAGCCCACAAGCAAGTTCTTTGTCATATGGAACTTATGAATTCAGAAGGCCTTTTTAACCCCCCCTTTTTTAGGGAGCAAAAATAATGATAAAGAATGGGGCAGTTTTTATATTATCACTATGGCTATACAGCCCTCTCCTGGCAGATGTTAGCAGTACTATATGCAGTAGCTATGTTAATTAGTGTAAATCAATTTGCATGAGTTTAATCAAACTTTCCTCCGGGGTATGCTACCTGCTTGTAAAAAGAGTTGTAACGTTTTGCACTTACAAAAGTATACACACTGATTCATCAAAACACTCCTGAGCTCTCACTTTTAAAAGAGAAACGCAAGCAAATCCTGCTGAGTAATGAATAATAATGTTGATTCATAACCGTGTCTAATTCATGTATTTCAGACGGCTTTTGGCTATTCTAGGTTGAAGTTTTCCAGTTCGCTGGCTGTAATTTTCAGCTTAAATACAGGAACACGCTTTGCAGGTGGCTCAACGCGTGGCTTACCG